GGCTGCCCAGGGAGGTTGTGGAGTCTCCTTCTCTGGAGATATTCCAGACCTGCCTGGACGCGGTGCTGTGCAGCCTGCTCTGGGTGACCCTGCGTCGGCAGGGGGTTGGACTGGGTGACCCACAGAGGTCCCTTCCAACCCCTACTATTCTGTGATTCTGTGATTCTGTAATCTTTCTCGGCTGTCCTACTGCACGTGCTGGGACAGGCTGCAGCTACCTCCTCAACTGCTTTGCAAGTCTTACCTTTGTAAAGAGTGTCCCGGGGGTCAGGCTTCAGCATGTCAGCTGGGTGCGCCTCGCTGCCCGCGCTGTCAGCGGGCCGGCCTGTGTGACTGGCCAACGTCTGCGGGATGTGCCCAACCTCGTCCATCTTTAAAAGCGTCTCGTCTAGAAACCAGAGAGAGAACGGAAGGGGGAGGAAGGGCTACTTCGTCCTTTGTCCCAAAAAACACCCTTCCCCGGTGTCAGCTCTTTCCAAATGGCATTGCATCCACGGCATTAACGCTGTCGCTGGCATAGCAATGCCTCAATGGGGCAGATCAGGAGCTTCACTGCAAAGACACCGCGGAAGGTCAGGCTTTGACTCAGGAAGCTGGAAATACAGAGGCTGAGGGGCAGGAACATGGCTATCACTGAAAGCAAAGAAACACCGTGATGAGTAATGGAGGAGAATGACCTCCTGCCTTAGACACACCACCAGTGGTGTGCTGAAGAGCCCCATGCTGGCAGGAATTACTGGGCACTTCTGAAAATTTCTTTTAAAAGGAGACAGAGAAGAAGAATGGGAGGAGAAACCTGAGCAGCAGATCTTTCTCCTGTGCTGGAAAAGGACCAAGACCCTGGGGCGAGGCCTTCAGTGGCCAAGGAGGACAATGGTCCAGCAGGGCAACGGAGACCCACAGCAAGCCAGGAGCAACAGAAAGCTTAAACTGAAGACTGGGTATTGGTTACGCTTTTTCTTCGGTGCTGCTTCCAGAGGACTTCATGTCTCCAGGGATTTTACTCTGAGACAACGGGAACGGAATCAGTCTCCAGGAGGGAAAGACAACACGCTTCCAAGAACACTGGGGCTACTGTTAGCAACTTTTGGGTATTGAACAATGTGGGAACCCAGAAGGAACGGGATGATGTGTGATACAGTCAAAGGCTGACACGGAAGAGGGAAACACTGTATGGGGAGAAGGTGCCAGATGAAGATGAGACTGCAGCACTGTGCCCAGCCCCGAAGGGATATTCTGGGCTGTGAGTCTCCCCTATAACAGGGAATGAATAAGAAGAAAAGAGCTGAAGGAAAAAGGAAGGGGACACAAAAGCTAGCTGAAAGCCTAGTCCTGGATGAATGATAGGTTTCAGAAAATACAGCAGCAGGTTGCAAGTCAAGACAGAGCGAACAGACGTCTTGATTACATCAGGGAGTGTTCCATGGGCAAAAGTGTTGGCATGGAAAAAACCCAGAGATGTTGGAAGGCAACAGTGGTAGATACGGAAAGGGGGAATGCTGGCAGAGAAAACTGATGCTGACAAAGCTAGAGAAGGGTAAACAGGACTAAGGAGCTCCTATATCAATGAAGGTATCACTTGATGTGCTAAGCAGGGTTTACAAAACAGGAGGGACTGGGCTGATGTGCTTGCTGCAATCCAGCAGCAACTGGAAGAGGCCTGAGGCTGAGATAGCAGAAATCAACATCCCCAGTGTTGCTAGTGTATCTGACTGTGTCCAGCACCCAGAGCAAAATCTCCTGGAAGTGCTCCAGCAGCCCCTGCTCCCTGGTTGTGCCCAGCTGCCAGCGCACCCCCACAGCTCCCGTGTTATGGGCCTCACGTTCCCCCTGGCTCTCTGCAGGGAATCTCCATCCCACGTTACTCGCATGTCTGCAACAGTTCTCACCCTGGCAGACTCTCCTCTCCGCCGCTCCTCACCGCCTCTAGATTTCCCTGAAATAATGTTCCAGTCCTACTTCCAGTTCTCCTATGCTTAATAACGAGTCACACTCTTGCCCGGAGGTCTCTCTCCTGACCTGTCTCCACTTCTTTCTTGTAATGATCTGTACGCATGGTATTTGCCAGGCTAGACTATGATGCAGGGTGAAACACCGCTGATACGTTTCAGAAGAATGGGGAGGTGCTCGAGGAAACCTGTGGTGAAGATACTTACTGGCAAAAAGGGAGAGGTATTGGGAGTCAATGACTTTGAACTTCGCTTCTGGGTCATTCAGTCTCCACTGGAACAGAGAAACACATTAAAATGAAGTGCTTATGGAGTTAACCAAGCCTGAACGAAAGGAACAGGCACAAGATGTATTTTCACCAGATGGGCTCACAGCTCCCTCTTTCTCCTTCTTATGACTGAGTTTACCTAGCAGGAGAAGACTGGGAATGAGCTGAGATCCCCCAGGACACATCCAAAGCAGGAAAGGACAAGAGCTGCAACAGAGACCAGAGAGAGCAGAACTACCCCAAGCAAGCGGAGGAAAGGGTCCTGACACGTAGCCAGGACTGTCCCACACAGAAGCAGGTAAGGGCTCTGGCAGGGATTAGATGCATCTCATGCAAAGAAGTGCTGGGGCCCGGGAAAGGAGGGAAGTCGTTACAAACGTCACTCCCGAGCTCTGCGGGGATGCATACACAGCTCAGCTCAGACTCACTGCTACTTCCACATGGTCTGTTCCTCTGTCATCCTGCTTGTGCAGCACCTCAAAATAGTACCTGCCTGCAGCTGACAACCTGCGAAGAACAACGTGTCTGTCACCAAGAGCACTGAGGAACATTTCTTAGCTTGTCAGCAGACAATGACTGAACCTAATTCTCAGGGTGAGCAGGGCTAGGACTGCCAAGAAAATCCAGATGCTGACAGCGAGACAGGTAGCTTCCCTTGTGCACCTGGAGTGCTCCAGACCCTTCTCAGTTAATTCTGAATAGCTCCCTTTCAGTCTTGCCTGCTGGGTTTTGGCCTCTGGGAAACCTGGCCAGCTCCAAGGCAGGAAGCTCGGGATGCAGTTCATATAGAGGAGTCTGCGTCTCCTGGTGGCTGCTTCCTCCAGGGAAGAAAAACTCAGTGTGGTATTTCGGCAGTGAATCAGCAAAGCAACTGGCACAGGTGCGGATGTGTCACTTCAGCTTTGGCGATACCCCAGAGTAATCCCTTTCTCTATATCGCTAAATTCTTCAGAACAAGCCTGGGTTCGTTTTCCTTGTCCTTGTGATTTCCTGCCCGTGTGCAGAGATGGCTGGGAGCGAGGGGCTCCGCTCACTCACCTCACCATCTTTGACTGCTGGCTGTGAAATTTGCCAAACTCCCCTGGTGCGGTCCACTCCTTCCCTGTCTGTGAAGAGACAGAAAACGCTCTAGTTAAAATGTGTTTCTTCCCTGGTTACTGCACTTGGACTGATGAAGAGGGAAAACTGAGCTACTCCTCTTGGTAAGCTGTCTGTGAGATCCACAACCTGCGGACAGATTTAAGCCCCTTAGCCACAAACACGGGGCTCCCAACAGCACTGCCAATATGTAACTGGCTTAAGGTATGTTGTGCCATACCCATCCGGCATCTTTGGCGGTGGTGTCTGTAGTTGGGCAGGAAAAGAAACTTGGACAGTCCAAGGAAGTATGTAAGGCAGGAAGGTCTCCGTCCCCACAGAAACACTACAGTCTTGATGGAAGAAGCCATGCAGCATGCACCGTACCTTGCCAACACTGGCCAGCAGCTGGAGGCCAGAGGTCTTTTCATCTGGACTCAACCAGAACTCAGCATTGTCATCCGCAGCAATGGCAAACTGAAACTCCCCTGTTGAGAGACGGAGGGAGTAAGCAGGGCTCTGGGGTAAGGGCTTGGGCACAGAACAGATCCCGCTCCTCTAAAATGCTGTCTTCACCATTTTTCCTGGTGAGATGATACCTTTCGTTTATATATTACCAACCCCGACCCCTTTGAATCTCTCTGACTTCTCTAACTCTGCAGTAATTGAAAACAAGACTTCACCGATGCAACTGCTTCATTATCCCTCCTGCACCGGCTTCACCTGACATCTAACCATGAAAGCTAACGAGCCCATGCAAAGTCTCCCTGCCTCCACTTTTGTTTCCAGACCAGACTTCTGTGTGAGAAGCTGTGTTTGGATGGAGGAGCGTGCACGTGGAGCTACGAAGGGAGCCAGGGATGCTTGAGTCTCATTGTTCTGGCTGGGGTTACAGGGCTGGTGGTCGAGGGCCAGTGGACCAGGAGGCGTGGGTGAGTGCCAGCAGGCTGCTCCGGGCAGCACCACACAGCTGGGCGGACTAGATGACCCACAGTGGTCCCTTCCACCCCTGGTCGGGGTTGGAAGGGACCTCTGTGGGTCACCCAGTCCAACCCCCTGCCGAAGCAGGGTCACCCAGAAGAGCTGCTGTCAGCTGGTGTTCATGCACCCGGGGAGCAGCAGGAACATCAATGATGTCATGTACAGTCCCGTGCACGCGAGGGAGGGAGGAAAAGCTCAGGGATTGCTCGTGCCCCTCTGCACGCCAAGGGGCTGTGCATTCACAACAGCGTTGTTTTTCATCTGTTTTCTTCTGTGCTTTTCCTTTCCAGCCTACAGGGGAGGCAGATGTCCCCGTGCCAAGGCCACGGCCAGCCACGCGCAGCTAGATGGGCTGCCCAGGTGAGGGACCTGGCAGGAGGGACCTGGCGTTGGGCTTGCCGGGGTGTGGGCACCAGTGGTTCAGCGCCAGGAGGGGAGGGAGGGCCAGGTGAGAAGAGACGCGAGCGGCGGCACAGCAGCCTCAGAGCCCTCACCGTCGGTGAAAGGATGCAGGTAGCCAAATATACGGAGACCGTAGTTGGTCCATTTTGGGGACACAGCCAGCTTCTTCAGAGTAGTTCGTGTCTGAGGTGGAAGAAGAAAAAAAATAATAATTAGATGTGACAGGAACAATGAGGGACACAAAAAAACCCTGGGACAGATGGGTGGAGGGAAGTATGAGGTTTGCTCTGGGAGGAGGATGGGGCACAGTATGTGATGGAGGCAGTGGGAGAGAGCAGGCCAGATGAGAGACCAACTGCTGCTGCAGAGGGGAGAGCTGCGTGGGGGATGCCGGTGAGATGGTGGTGATGGGACGGACGTGGTGTTCGTTAGCCACTTGGAGGGAGAGCACCAAACACAGGGTTCCTTCACCCCGTGTCCGAGGCCTGGCAGGTCAGCATGGGTAAAATGAGCCTTCCCCGTGCAGCATAAGAGCTGCCACCACTGAACCCTTGTGAAAGCTCCCCGCTCCCTCAGCAGGAGGACAGAGGAGGTGACGGAGAGGGACAGGGACAGGAGGCGAAGGGAGCAGGGACAATCCAGCTGGGAAGCAGAGCTGGGAAGCGTGGGACAGAGGGTGTTGCGGTCTTACTCACGTGGGGAAAGAGGGGGAAGTGGAGGTTCTTCCTGAGCTGCTCAGTGGAGCTGCCGCACCAGTCCTCGAACACGTGCAGATTGGCCTGGCCCTGGAACTGGGGGGCAGAAGTGGGGCACCATGAGTTGCTGTGTCCCTCCCCTGGGTCCCTCCCCTGTTCTGCCAACCTTGGCCACGGCCCCCGGCACTGGAGTGCTTGTGAGAGCAAAGGAAGATGCTGCTGCAATGGGCTGGTCTGCAGGAGACATGGGTCCAGACCCGTTTCTCGTCTGCTGAGCGGGGCTGTCACAGGTGACATTCTGAACTGTGACAATGCTCAGGACATCTCGGTTAAGTGGCTGGAGTTCACTCCATTTTGCTCCATCAAGGAGGTGTTTAACCAGAGGGCTGTGCTCTGAGGATGTTGTGTGGGACACGCTGTAGGGTGGCCACAGGCCCCCATGATTCAGCAAAGAGAGTGTAGGGTCTTATGTCCTCCAGGAAGGTGTTTTGGACTCCCTCACCACTTCAGGGCTATTTTCCTGCCCCAAAGAAGAGTGGACACCTTGGGAGGGGAGATGGCAGATCCCCTTCTCAGAGCATGCCTGCGAGGTGAAGCTCATGGAGAACGGCGGGGGGGGGGGGGCGGGGGCTTAGCAGGGTGGGGAGCAGCAGCGCAGGTAGCTCAGCGGCAGCACGGCCTCCGCGTGCCCACAGAGACGCAGAAACGCTGCGGGGTCCCTCCCAGGCAGGCAGGAGGGGGTGTAGTGGGGGGACCAA